ACTAACCACAGCTCAGCTCCAAGCCGGAGACCACGAGCCCGTGAACACACCAGCGACATCGACATCCTCAAAGAGACACGCCAGGTCTCCGTCAAAGCGTAAGTTAATGCGGGAGAACAGCGCAGCCGTCGTCAACCAATATACTGCGAACCTCACAGCGTAAGCTCACCGTGTAAGCGTAAGCGGACCTCGAAATGCAAACAGGTCCCTGCATCCCAGGTAGCTGGTGGGGATACGCGAAGCGTCAACAATTTTGCTCCGCCGCCAGGGTTAGATTCTGACCCCTGGTAGCTGCCGCTTCAACAAAAGAATAATGCTTGAAGCGACCGTGATAGATTTATACATGCTAGCGTCTTTCTGATTGTGGTCCCAACGTCGGCCCAGGCAAGCAGCAAGGGCCAGGCTTGAGCCAAAAGGGTTACGAAAATAACCGCAACCATCCTGGCAACTACCTATCCCGCCCTGAATCACGACCGTCACCAGAAGCTATCGGCGACGGTTATGATTATGTGTCCTCCGCTCTGCAATCGTTCGAAATTTCGGTTCCGAGTCTTCTCGAACATCCCTGCACAGCTGGGCTCAAATTCAAACGCCTTCTAACTGCACTTCGCAACTGAGAAGAGGGAGGGGGGATGACAAGGGCCAGAGGAGAGAGGGGACGAAGGGGAGACAAACTGGGTGTGCTAGCGTCACATCTGACTTCCTGTCCGTCCCACCGATTCCTTACCACGGTGTCGATGTCATATGTGATCGCACAGTCGGATGTCGAGCAGGGCAATCATCCGAAGATGGCACGCGATGGCTGAAAAAGCATGGCGTAGAAGAACACGGCAGAGCATAGCATGCCATAGCATGGCATCGCACAGCGGTGCACAACACAACATCGCATTGCATGCCGCGGCATGGCAACGGATGAGTTGGAGGGCAACTGGCCCGTCTACGAGAGGACAAATCTGGGAAGAACACCGCAACCGTGCCTGCCCGATGCGGGCGCTTTCGAATGCCAAGTGCCGTCCAGAGGAACGGGAACGAGGCCAGCGCTGCAGCGAGGGCGCGATTTTGAATGACCGAATCGCGGAAATGAGGGCGACGGCCAGCGCTGCAGCGGGAGCACAATATTGAAAGAGGCAGAAACGACCAAAAACCAAGCAATGAAATCGCGTGCGTAAAAACAATACGCGGAAAAGGCGGGACACTCTCTGGACAGAGTCAGGGGAGAGAGGAGAATAATACTCAGATTATGTAATTGTGAAGGGGGGGCAGGGGACTGTTCCCACCTCCAGGAGGGCATCACCGCAAGCTGACGCCGATGCGCGTCATGGGGGCACGGTCCATGGGCACAGACTCCCACGCATTGAATCAGGCTCGCCGTGGTCACGTCACTGATCCTGAGATTGGGGCGTCCGCCGCTCTGGCGGAAACCGTGGCCATCGTGCTGTCGGGGGAAGGTGGTGGGATGGGGGACACATGGAGGGAGGCGGATGAGCAGGACGGCGCCCTCTCCCTCCCCTCGCCTCTCCCCTCCCATGCCGGCCCCCCCGTCTGCTCCTCGGATCGTCCCCATACCCTCTAGACCGCGGCCCTGCGCACCGCCCGCTTGGGGGCGCGCGCGCGGGGCGGCAGCCAAACTGCTGCCTTGAAAGATCACCTCTCCTTAGAGTCCGCCACCGTGCCGAGGGGCACGGGTTGGAGTGTCTCCAGGTCCTGTCCAGGAGCTGGAACAAGGTTCGCATCAAGAAACCCCTTTTCGCCCGGAGGTCAACAGCGCCCGCGCTTTGTATCTTTCTGACCTTACGGATGTTCGAGCGGGGACACACGCGCGAAACGCAACGAACCTTCCTGGCAATGTCCGAAATGTAGTCGCGCGCCCCCACTCCTCAGGATGGAATGATCAACAGGCCCGGACCCTCCGAGACGGCCCCAAGAGGGCCCCAAGCCAGCTCAAGAGGTCTCCAAGACGCCCAAGATGGCGTCTCATAGGGCCCTGAAGCGCCCCAAGCGGGCCCAACATTGATTCAGATAGGCACCCAAGATTGCTTCTGACGGCCTCAGGCGGGCCAGGAATGCCAGCAGATGGCCAAAGAGGCCCTCATGAAGCCTCAATAGGCCCCCAAGAGGCCCCCAGGAGTCCCCCGAGAGGTTCCCAGACCGCTCCCAGGAAGCTCCCAGGAGGCCCAAAGGGTGCCCAAAGAGGCTCCCAGGGGCCTTCTCCTGTCATCCTCCTCATCCTCCTCCTCTTCCTCCTCCTCCTCCTCCTCCTCTTCCTCCTCCTCTTCCTCCCCGCCCTCTTCGTCGTCCTCCTCCTCCTCTTCCTCCTCCTCCTCCTCCTCATCCTCCTCCTCCTCCTCCTCCTCCTCCTCCTCCTCAAGACTCTCAAGACTGCAACAGATTCATCATACAGCGCACAATGACCTGGGTGGGTTAGATCCCACTGGAAATTCAAGAAAATGAAGCGCTGGCTCGGACTCTGCTCTGACAAATGGGCGAAGAAATTCGCTCCCTCCCTGCTGATTCCTTCTGCCCTACCCAGACAGCAGAGGGGCCGCGCCTGCAGCTCCGCGGACGCAGGATGCGACCCTGAAAAGGGCCGGAAGAAAAAGACGAGGAAAGAAGGGGAAGAAGGGGGAACGAGGTCCCAAGCCTGAGCTTCGTCCCTGGGACGAGTCCGCGTCCGAACTTGGATCTCTCGCTGGACCTCCGCGGGCGCTCGCAGGGGAGCAAGAGACTTGTCGCCTTGCGGGTCGCGAAGCACCCGCACTCTGAACAATGCAGTATCGGGAGGTCGCTGCTCTCGATCCTTGCCCCACAGAGCTCGTGGCCTGGACCCCCTCCCGCGGCAAGGAGGGACTGTAACATGGGGGGCAGGGCATCGCAAGGAAATGTGCTCGACGGAGAGCGCGCACGGAAGCAACGAGAGCATTTGTAGGCGAGTCCGCCCCACACGGGCAAATGTGGGCATGGTTTTGCCCTGTCGGCTTTCTGTCGTCTAACGCGGGACAGCTTGCCAAACAAATCTTTAAGCGGTGGCCAAGCGCTAAATACCCGGGCAGCTCCAACTGCCAAGTTAGAATGTTCAGTCAAAGCTTGCTGGTAGGCCTCGACCGTCGCTGGAGGGTGCCCACGAGCTCTCGAAGCAAGTCCATCAGCGTGGTCGGCGAGGGCGTTTCCCTCGATCCGATGGAGGTCGTGGCCATCATCAGCACTACTTCCATATCTATGTGCTTCGATTTACAAGAAAACCTGGCCAGTCTCGCTGCTCTAACTTGTGCGCCGCAGGGCGCCAGCACCGGGGACGTGGATTCCCACCTGCGAGCGCTCTCTCTGGCCACGAAGAACTTAAACCAAGGGCGCTACAACTGCTGTGGATCATTGTCGAGAAGGGTTCCTCCGATCCGATGATTGCTAGGGACGCGGCTGGCATCCAGGAGCTGGTGGAAAATATGGGGCTGGAGGCGGCTCACCTCAACGCCCTCCCTACCGGCCAAGCCCTGGCGGCGGGGCAGTCAATCTTCCCGGTGAAGAACATGGTGAGCAAGGCAGAGGCACCTCTCCCGAGACCGGCGACGCCGCCGAGGCGCCCAAAGGTGGCCGGCGACTGGCTGGACGCGAAGGTGGACAGCAACAAGATGGCGAAGGGCAGCAAGGAAGGGAGGTGCAGTCCAAGACGTTGCCTGCACATCAATTTCGACTTTCGCGCGGAGCGCATGCGCTGCAACGCGAAGGCACCCAAGAGCATCTGCAAGAAGCAGTAGCGCCAGCATCCGCAAGCAGCAGCAGCGCCAGCAGCAGCGCAAGCAGGTGGCCAACCGTTGCAAGCAGAATCGGTAGCACCCGGATGAGCGGCACTGGCCGGAGGCCACTGCAATCATGGACTGTCCTTTGGGGTTTCAATGTGTTTAGCGGTCTGGCCTTTTCGGGTTCCCGACCTTCCAGGGCGGCCCAACTGGCCCCCAATAACGGCCCAAAAGGCCCTCAAGAGGCCCGCAAGGCAGCCCAAGAGGGCCCCAAAGTGGCCTCGTAGACCTCCAAGGCTGGCTTAAGTCGCCCGAACAAAAACAACTGCCACCAAGAGAGGGCAGCGAGTCGGCATCCGAAGGCCAAGAGGTTCCTTAGAGGACCTCAAGAGGGCCTCAAGTGGGCCTCAACAGGCATCGTCTTTTCTCCTCCTCCTCCTCCTCCTTCTCCTCCTCCTCCTCCTCCTCGTCCTCCTCCTCGTCCTCCTCCTCCTCCTCCTCCTCCTCCTCCTCCGCTCTATTCCTCTCCTAAGTGCCCCCCCGAGGGATTCCACCATGGCTGGGGGAACACACAGCTGTCCCACAAGGCAGGCGGCGGCGATGCCTCGCCGCAGGCGTCTTCGATATGGAACCAGCTGCCGCCGCCCATCGTGAGACAAAAAATGCGAAGCAGGGGTAAGCCCAGAGGCTGTGCGCCACCACCGCTCGGAGAACGCGGGAACTCTGCGCCGCACCGGTGGGTGAAGGGGCCCAGGGACACCCCAGGCAAAAAGGCACGAATCTCCAAGGATTCCACCCATGTTTCTTTCTGCTCTGGATTTTGGTTTTCCAATCCACTTGCCATATGTCTCATCATTCCATGGGAATCTACATTTGTTTGTGGTTGTGCCTCTTCTTCCCTCTTGGATGGGGAACGACAGGTGGGGGCACCCGCTCCGGGGGTGGGGGTGGGGGGGGGGAAGAATCGACCTGGAATCGGCGATACACCGCCGACAGATCGGCGACTGGGCCCCGCTGGCGAGGCCGCACGCTCCTGGTGCGGGTCGGGCCTATCGGACCCCCATCGGCGATGAGTGGAGACGCGCCCAATCTCCAGCTCCGGGGGGGCGTGGTGGTTTTTCTCGCTCGAGGAGGCTCGCTGGTGGAGTCGCTTCTCCCTCCGAGCCTTTGGCACTCCCTCCCGACTCCACGTCACTGCTCGCCTCCACACATGACACGGACGTGCAGGAAAGGCCAGTCTCAATCCGAGGCTCTCGCCACGCGCGCTCAGGCCAGGGCGTTGCCCTCCGCATACTTCAGCCCAGTGTCGATCTCGCCCTTCAGCTGCGTCTTCACCTCCTCCAGGCGCTTCGTCTCGTGCTCGTTGAGCTCCCCGAGCGGAAGCACCTTCTCGATGCCGGTGGAGCCGAGCACGACCTTCTGCGCAAAGTACGGGAGGTCCTGGGGAGGCGGAAGCTGGCCACCACCGCGCCCCCTCGGGCCCACTCGGGGCCGGGGCCTCGGCGGAGGTGGCCCTCCCGCCTCGCCAGGAGACGGAGCCCACCACAGTCGGGGCCCGCATGGAGCGAAGGAGCAAAGCGGATCCTGCGCGAGAGGACATGGCGACCCCGCGCGGTGGCCTGCGCAGGCCGCCACCACGGCGCACCAAGCGGAGAAGCAGACGCGTAGGCGCGACCCTGCGCGGGCAGCTTACACGTGAATGCTGCCGCGCCGCCAGGGGGGCCCCAGCGCCGCTCCAAGAGATCCCCGCGGAGCTCCGAAAGTGCATGGTTACGCCGTTGTGTCTTCTTCGATGGACGTTTCGGGGCAGTGGCCCCCCTGCTTCAACATCGGATCCCCGACCTGTACCAGAGGGCGCCGTCATCCCAAGACTCCAAGGCGGCTCTGGCAGTGTGGCGGCGAAGACCTCCTAGGTCTCTCCCAGCAACAATAACAAAAGCACCTTTTCCTCCTCTTCCTCCTCAACCTCCTCCTCCTCCTCCTCCTCCTCCTCCTCCTCCTCCTCCTCCTCCTCCTCCGCCTCCGCCTCCGCCTCCGCCTCCGCCACCGCATCCGCCTCCGCCTCCGCCTCCGCCTCCTCCTCCTCCCTTCCCCTGTCTCCGCTTCCATCCCTTGTCCTTATCAAAGACTCCTCCCTGTCGCACGCCCAGGCGTGTTGGTAGGGCGGTTGGGCGGGCTGGACGTTACGTCTGAGACTTCTGTACCAAATATGATCCTGAATTTCGAATTTGGAAGGAATTCACTGATGGAGTGGGGTCGTTTTCGAAATGAAGTTTTCGCCTTACTTTGGCGCCGCGTGCATTCGTCTTGAACGTTCGCAACAGCTTCAAGCATGGAGATCGGCTCGTTTTCAAAATGTGGTTTTCGCCTTAACGACGCGCACATCCGTCGTAAAACTGTGCAGCAGCTTCCTGGGAGGAGGGGGCGATGTTCAACATGCGGCGCCCTCCTCAGCGCCGCGCAGGTTCGTTTTATAAATTTGAACTGTTCCCACGGATGGAAGGGGGGTTATGATATCTCGCCTTAGCGCCGCGCGCATTCATGGCACACGGTTGCAACAGCTTCATGGGTGGAGGGTGGTGCTTCGTGAACATAGGCTTCAACATCCTGCAACAGCTCGAAGGATTGAACGCTGGCCGTTTTCACAGTGGTGTCCCCGCCTCAGCGCCACGCGCATTCGCTTGCAGGATGGAGGACCTGTGGAGTTGTCGCGCGTGCTCTTTTTCAAAACGGGGCGGTTGCTTCTTCCTCAACTTGCATGACCATAAGTGCCAGCTTGTGCAACAGTTACACGGATGGGGAGGCGGCCCTTTTTTCCAAAGGGGAATATCGCTGGACACCTCGAACTGCATGATCAAAGTTCTTCGCGCCCCTGGTTATGCGCCCGAAATAAGCAAGGCAATCCCTTTTCAAAGCGGAGCCCTCGCCAATGGCGGGCCCGCCCAACTGTGATGGCGTTTCAAGTGGGGCGATTCCGAGGAGAAGATGGTGAATGTGAAGTACCCGGACTCTGAAGTAGTTCCACTCGAAGCTGAAATCGAGCCCCAGCACCACGAAACTCCTGAGGAAGTTCGTGGTCAAGAGGATGCAGCCTTCCAGCCATGTCGGTGCCCAGAACGACCAGCGCCATCTCGACGGCAGCAGTCAGCTTGGTCGCACGTTCGGTGGGGCTCTGGCAGTCGGAGCAGCAGACCCACCCTGGTTTGTTGAGAACCCTCGGTGCCGTAGACCACCAGTAAAGGGGTAATCCGTATCTCCTGGCAATGCCAGCTCGCCAGAAATGGCACGTTGGGCACGCGGCCCAAATAGTGGCGAAACGAAGGAGACGCTGCCCCAAACTGGCGGCACGCCTTCCCCGAGCAGCGACGCGTCTCGGAGGACACAGCTCCAGCACGAAAGATCCGCACCAGCTTGCGATCATCCTCTCCCAGACGCTTGAAGAATCGCTTGCACACGAGGTTCGACTCCGCATCCACATCCACATCCAGGATCTCTTCGGCGCCGAAACGTTTGTCATTGACTTCGGCCGAACATCTGACCCTTGCCACGCAGCGCAGCAAGTGTTCGACCTTCTTCTCATGGCGTGGGTGGTCGGGTCTGCGGGTCCAGAACCTTCTCTGGCCATCCACAATACCCTGCAGCGCCCGAACCACTCGGTGATCATCAGTGTCGCTCACCTCGAGGCAGCAACCACGGCGATCGGCGCAAGCAACCAAACGAAGGCCCAGAACCCGGGCACGCACGATCATCGCATTGTCCAGGAAGGTCGACCACACGAGGCGCGCCTGGGAGATGACTTTGAAGACCTGCAGGGGCCCCGACAGGCGAGGGCGCAGGTGTGCGCGTTGTGCCCACCAGCGCCCATAGCACCACCATCGGTTGGTAGATATGGTAATCGACCTGCACAGCGCTCTGCAGGTCGAGACAGGAGGCGACGCCACGAGGGGGCAAGCCCACAGCCAAAGCGCGCGAATGTAAGCAACAGCGAGCCGAGCACGGATCTCCGCACCTCCAGGTACTGACTGTACCAAGCACACGAACCGCTGTATGAAGCTTGACCTAGCCTCCTCTAGGCTGGATTGGGGTAGACGCATCCGCTGGAGTCGTCACGATCCCGAGGTGTTCCACTGCCGTAGGGGCTGGCCCGAGCGAGCCCACAACTGACGCTTCCGCACGTTCCCCTTGAAACCGACGCCCGCGTCAAAGCGCTGGGCACAGTCCAAAGCCCTGGCCAACTCCTGGGAAGAGGAAGACGCGACCTGTCGCCCATAAAATCGTAACCAACTGGCGGTTGCCACGACACCACGGCCGAAATCACGGCAGCAGGGGCCTCCGAGTCGCCTTGAGGAAGCCCTCGCGCAGGCCAAATCGGCGGCGCCAAAGAGGAGATGGCGCTGCAGCATCTGGGGGCTCTCCAGGCCGCCACAGCAGTAAACGTCACCGCGGGCGGGGCGCCTAAACATTAGCACGATTGGGCTCCCACGGCGTGGTCTTTATTGTCGCGCGCTCGGCTGAGATCCACCTCGGCCCCTGCCTCGGCGACTTCACATGAATGTAACCCGCTGCTGATCGCGTGGACGACGCCCGTCGCAAGCCGCCCTGCAAACTGGTTCTCCGGAGGCGGTGGCATCCCAGCAGACAAGGCCGATAACCAAACTCTGACCAGGATCGAGCCCACTGAAATAGGACGAAAATCCAATTCACTTCTGGGGATCCCCACAACACGCCAAAGAAAAATCGCATCCAACGCGTCCTGGTCCAGGATACCCCAGGCGTCAACGCACCCGCGGCTGGCGTCGCACCGGAGCTCGTGCAACTGCAGTAGCATCTCGGGGAAGAGGCGCCGCAAAAGCTCAAGCTCCGCGGCCGTCCATCCGCCCAGCCCAGGAGCACCATGACACGTCGCAAAAATGTTGTCAAACTGCTCAAAGCTCGGCAGCCAGTGCTCTTCCTGCGTCGACCGGGGGAAGGAAACATCAGCAGCCCATGGTTGTCACCGAGTAAAGTGGCTAGCAGCATCGCGTGGAGCAGGATCTGGGGCCCATTGCTGTTCCCATCCACGGCGCATCTCCACTGCATCCGCTGGGGCAGTCGGCGAGGGCGCCCTGATGAGCGGCGCGGCAAGCTTGTAGATGTCCTTAACCCAACTGGCGATACGCTTCCGCCACTCTCGGGACTGCGCATCTTGGATACGTCGCTGTTGCTGAGAAACGCCTGCACCCAGGACGTCCAGGGCCTCGGCGTGGTTCGGGATCCCGTAGAGCGGCGCTGCGAAGAGCCCACCCCAACCAGCCCGCGCGAAACGTTCGAAGAGAGAACCAGTCATACTCTGGAACGCCAAAGTGGGGTCCTGCTTGATTTGCTCCATCACCTGTCGATGTAGTCGTGGCAGTCGGCGAAGGGCGACAGTCTGAGCGAGCCGATGGGGGGCACCATGGCACGTCGGCTTCGTCGAAAGAGCCGACCCCTTGGCGCGCTAACACTGCCTCTCCACAGAGGCGCAATCGTGCTCGACGGCCAGCTTGAGTGCCAGCTCAGCGCGCGCGTGCCAGTGCTTCCACTTGGCGGTCAACGGGGCCTGGCCATGATCACCGAGAGCAGGGTCTCCAAATTCAGGCATCCGCGCATCCAGTTCAGCTCGAAGTACATCCAGCTGACGTTGGAGATCAGGGGGGGCTTTCGTCGCGCAGAGCGCCGCGCGGCGCAGTCGGTGTTGAGGGCGGTGGTACGTCGGCCCCTGCAGCGCGTAGAAGACCACGCCATGGAAGCGCGCCCGAGAGGGGATCTCCACGGCGAGGCATTTCGGATAGTATGGGACAGGCGGCCCGTAGTAGAGACACCTCGTAGGAGTAGTAGTACCTGACGCGGTGGCCGCAAGCGACGCTGGACACAACCCGCCCGGGACTCATCATAGACTTGCACCGTGCTTTCCAGTTCAGATCTCCGGCGACACGCAACGGACAGCCCTAAACAGCAAGATTCCGCGCGAAAAAGAAAAACCCGCCTACCAAGCTGGGTCCTCAGCGACGGGCCCGCAGACTGACAGGTAGATGCAGTTCGTCGCCTCGACGCCCACGACCCTGCGGCCGAAAGAGGGGTCGCGGATGATCGAGATCCCCCCGACCGCGCTGGGCTTCCACGCAGTGGCACACCCTCCATGGCAGACAGCGGCTGCACGCGTAAGCGGCGGCGGCGGCGAACAGGCCACTGCCCAGCCACAGCGCTTGAAACATTGTTGAACCCATCGGGGGTGCCCCTCACATTGACGAAGTTCTTGAAGAAGTAGAAAAGAACTATCTGAATCATTGCGAAGCGCCCCCTCGAGGCGCGCCCTTGCAAAGGAAGCCGCATTCAAAGTGGCAACATTGGCACTGATTTCCATGGCGTCGCACGGCCGCGTCTCCTGAGAGTCGCCGCCCCCGGCCAGTGGGCCCTCAGCAAATGAAAGGCAAGCTCAGCGATGACATGCTGGTCGAGCCGTGAAACACGCATAAGTTAATCTAGATGAGGACGCCGCCGCTGCAGGGCACCTCCTCACCAGCCGTGATACTGCGACAGGAAGACCAGCTCGACGCAGTGCTGCATGCTTGCGCGCCCTGATCTTCCTGCCACTGATGAACTCGCGTGCCCTGACCAGCGCCTTGTAGGCGGGGCCCTGCATTCGCCCTGCCCCCCGCTGCTTCTGCCGCCCCTTGCACTCGGGCTTGTGGCGGGATTTGCAGGCGATAGCGCCCCTGATCGCCTTCCTCCTCCTCCTCCGCTCCCCGGGGCCGATGAGGAAGCCCATCAGCTGGTTCATGGCGACGCCTCCTTGGATCCTCTCCTCACAGGATCGTTCCCTGAGGCGATGGATCGGCTTCGATGCCCCACAACGGGAGCAAGTGCATTCAGTAACAAGCTGGGCGGAGCGCCAGGTCGTCGCCCCTGCCCTCCCCCCCCCCCCGACGTCTTGCAGAGCATCAGCTAGAAGCGCGCGGGAATATTGCCAGACCAGCCCTTATACTTCTGCCGGGCGACGCGGCGCACCGCTCTCGCAGAAGCCCCAGCAGTGACCCTGTTCCCCCCTTCAAAAGCTCCCGGAGGGGCATGGGCGGGCGGAGGCTCACCGACACAATAGCGCCAGTGAGCTCGAGCTTGCTGAAGTCATCGGGGATGGTTGTCGGCAGTCGGCCCCCATCCGCAACCTGGCGCAGGGCAACAGAGGTGAGCTCCCGGGCCATCATACGCAGGACCAGGTGCAGCTTCTTCGGGAGGATCACGAGCCTCCAAGATGCCCATGAATCTGCGCGCCCTCTTGGACGCAACTCTTTGAGAAGATCGCGAAGACTTCGGTGCCCCAGGAACGACCCGGCATCATCCTCCATCTCCGTCGACACGCTCCCGACAGACTTACCCCCACCACTCAGTCGCTCTCCTCCTGTGAAGACGCCAGGGCAGGGCAAGGCCTGCTCATGCCACGTAGTGCCCACTGCCGCCGGCAGCGCTGTAGTCACCTGGAGTAACTTGTCATGCTTGTTCTGGAGCACCAACCACACCTGTGGTCGCTTGCTCTGCGGGGTTCTCGCCGTGGGCCCTGTGTAAAGCACCCAGCGGTCATCCGTCGCGTTGAACTTCCAGACATTGATGTCCACCATGGCCGCCTGGGCTGCGGCGCGGAGCGCGGCCGTGCTCGCGAGACAGCCCGCCTTCGCCATAGCTTCGGCCATCTGCACGGAGACCCCGTACTTCTTGGGATGATTCTTCAACTCCGCGGCAACGAGAAATCGAAGCTGCGCTTGAACGCCACCCCCTGGCTGATCGCCACCTGCAGCAAGGGGCCCGGAGGCAGCCGAAGCTTCGCGAAGAGCTCGGCCCACGCAGAGGAAGAAGCAGTCTCCGCCACATCCGCATTCCACGTCCTTGAAGTTGTCCGCCCAGGGAGCTTTCACCGCGCGGCGGGCACGCTGCTGGGGGGGGTCGTCTCCTGACGATCCCAGGTGGCGGCCCTCCGCTGGCACTGCACGAGGATCCCCGCCAGGCGCCTCTCCAGCTGTGGCGGGCTGAGTCGGCACCATGTCCTCGTCGGCGCGCTGCTCGGGCGGGAAGCCCGCGCGCGGCTGCGCGGCTCCCCAAGAGGAGGCACGCTTAGAAGTAGGAGCCTTCTTCTTGTCGCCCGCGTTGTTGTAGGCCAAGGAAACCGAGATGCCACTGGCGAACGCGAACACGTGAATCCTGTCGGCGTCCGTGCGTCCTGATGCCAAATCGGCCCAGACGAACCAACGATGGCGTCCAGCACGGTGTGCCTTGCCGATGTTGGTGAAGCCACGCTGTTTGGCCCTCTCCTCAAGACCCTCGGGGCCGATCCAAGAATCTGGCGCATTCAATGCGCACCGCCTGGGGGGGAAGCCAGTCGTGAGGCCTTATCCGAAAGAACTCCCAGGGAAGCGTCTTCAGATGGGCGATAACAAAGGCGCCCAGTCACTGTCTTAGCACTCGTCGTAACGCGGGTGATGTATGCTTCGGCAGGTCCGTCCTCTCTTTGCTTGAACCACCGCGGTACTAACTTGGAGCCCTGGAGGTTCAAGAACACTCCGCGCGGGAGCTCGAACTGCATGAACCGTTCCAAGGAAGATTTCTTCACGATGAGCAGGCAGGTCAGCTCGCTCTCGTAGTTGGGCGCACCCTTGACCTTCAGCACGTGCTTCTGAAGGTCGGCGTTGAAGATGAGCGCCGCCAACGCCACTGGACGCTGGGCAGCGCGTGTGAAGAGATCATCCGCAGCACAGTCTCGCGCAACCGTGAGTCGCACCTGCACAATCTCGAAGGACGTCGTCGTCTCGATGGGCTTGTCATCCTGCACACCAGCAGGGAGGCCCACCCGCTTCGGAGGGGAGGCGCCCAGCTCCAGGATGAGGCACCGCTGGGTCGCCGTGCTTTTGCCCTGAGGAACCTTCGCCAGCACGTCGCCGAAGGCTGAGCCCTGGCAGGACGCGCTGCACGTTGAAGATGAGGATGGTGGCGGAGCGCTCGGCGCCTCCCAGGGCGTCCAGCCACCTGCGCGTGGCGTCGTACTTCTTCTCATTCTGGCACACGACGAGGGGAGGACGCTCAGAGTTACAATCTTGCAGCCGCATCGCGGACCAGATTGGGCAGCCTTCACTCCACTGGCTCTTGACTACCTTGATGTCCCTCCGCTGCTGCTGCTACTGCTGCTGATGCTGCCGCTGTTGCTGCTGCTGCTTCACCGCAGGTCGGCCGAGGAGCTGCTGTAGCTTCTCGCGCACCTGCTCGTTCGTGGGCTGATAACCCGACTCATCAACCTTCTTGATCAACGCTCCGACGTCCTCCAACAGCGTGGGACCACGCTGCTGCTTGGACTGCTGCCGCCTGGTCTGGAAGCCACCTCCAACTCTGCCCGCGAGAGGTCAAAGTGACTCTTGCATCTTCTGGATTTCGCTTGCAAGATCACGTCGGCGCCCCTTCACCTTCGACCCTTGCAAGCCCCTTTTTTATCACCTCCTCCCTCCAGTGGATCCTCGACGAAGTCCTCAGAGAAGGTAGGCGAGGTCGCAGTAGACACAGAACTCTGGCGGCGTCTGGCTGGAAGCTCTCCCTGCAGCACGCCGCCCAGAGAACTCTGCACAACATTCTGAATATGCACCACAGTGCAACGTTCACCCAGATCTGCTTCGAACAAGGGGCTCAACCCACGCATCCCACGAGGAGGGTCTGGGTATTGTGCGTAGTGGGGCGCTTCCTGCAGTGAGAAGGAAGACTTGCAGGGTCGTATGGGGAGGAGTCTTGGGAGGGGAGGGTGTATTGCAGCATCGCTGCTGCATCTTTGGTTTACTCTCCTCGTCCTCATCCTCCTCCTCCTCCTCCTCCTCCTCCTCCTCCTCCTCCTCCTCCTCCTCCTCCTCCTCCTCCTCCTTTCCCTCTCTTGAGGTCCGTGACCGTAGACGCGCAGTAGGCGCACTCCGTGCGCTTCTTCCCAGAGAGGCCCGCCAGGATCGCGGAGCCAAACCGGGCGCCTGCTGGCGAAGACGACGACGAGACAAACAGACGGGAAGACGACAACAACGACAGGGGCTCGAAAATACTGATACCACTGCTAGCCAGACCTCTTGCAGGGTGAGTTCTGGCCAGAATTCCAGAGGGGGATCCCCCCATGGTGACGAGAACTCTGTCGAGCGAGCGGCGGCATCGGTACCTCTCCGCCCTCTGCACGACGACGGCGGCGGCGGCCGCCGCAGAACCGAGCGTAGAGAAAGAAACAACTGCAAAAAAAAAACTTCGGAGCTCCGAAAATGTATGATTATGCCGTTGCTCCTTCTTCGCTGGATGCCTCGTGGTGGTGGTCAGTACGCTTCCTCAACATCGGTCCCCCGACCTGTCCCAGAGGGCGTCCTGATCCCAGGACTCTGGGGCGGATCTGGCAGTATGGCAGCAAGGACCTCCCAGGAGCCTCACCACCCCAAAAAAAACAAGGATCACTACTACTCTTCCTCACCTCCTCTTCCTCCTCCTCCTTCTCCTTCCTGCTTCCTGCTTCCTGCTTCCTCCTTCCTCCCTCCTCCCCCTCCTTCCTGCTTCCTCCCGGTCTTTCATCCTTCCTCCTTCCTCCTTCCTCTTTCCTTCCTTCCTTCCGTCCTTACTTCCCTCCTCCTCCCTCTCCTACCCCTCCTCCTCCTCCTCCTCCTCCTCCTCCTCCTCCTCCTCCTCCTCCTCCTCCTCCTCCTCCTCTGCCTCCTCCTCGTCCTCCTCGTCCTCCTCCTCCTCCTCCTCCTCCTCCTCCTCCTCCTCCTCGGCCTCCATTCCTTGCCCTTATCAACAACTCCTCCCTGCCCATACCGTGCTGTAGCCTGCGAGCGGAGCCGAGCTAGGCGCCTGCGTACGCCATGGAGAGCGTGGCGCTGCCCTTCCCATTCTTCGCGTTCACGACGTCGGTGCCGGCGTCCTAGCGACGACGACGACGACGACGACGACGACGACGACGACGGCGACGACGAGAACGACGACGACGACGACGACGACGCCGCCGCCGCCGCCGCCGCCGCCGCCGACGACGACGACGACGACGACGACGACGACGGCGACGACGACGACGACGACGAAGCCGACGGCTGAGGACTGCGGGGCCCTGCTGTCGCCGCGCGCGGGCAGCGCTGGGAAGGACGCGGCGGCCCCGCCGGCGCCCCGGCCGCCGTGCTGCGCGGTCGGGGGGCGAGGCGCGGTCGGGGGGGGATCGGAGCCGCGGGCCGCCTGCAGCCCGTGGGCGGCTGGCGCGGGGCGAGCGGATCGGCGCGCCTGCGTACACCCTGCGAAATGCTTAAGAAATCATGGGTTAAGAAATTCATAATCTCAGAACTTGAATAAAAACCCAACGTTTCCATCACAATCTCAAGATTTACATGGAAACGTTAAGAATTATCGAGACTCTGGCCGAAAACTTGGGTTTTCTTAAGCATCGCCTAAGGTGTACGCGCCTAGGGATACTGAGCCCACTGTTCGGCGGCGCGCCAGGCGGGGGGGTGAGAGGGGGCAGGTCCTCTCGGAAGGCGGCGGGGCAAGGCCCACGGGAGGCCCCGAGATGTACCCTAAAAGAGGGCTCTCCGAGACGATCCAACACGGCTTCTGATGAGCACGGTTTTGGGTTTCCCAGGTGGACGCACGGCGCCAAGACGCTTCTACGACAACGCCACCCGGAATAGAGGGATCCAGGGCTTCCAAGGAGTCGGCGGGCGGTACGGCGTAAGCCAATGAATTAACGATTGTGCATCACTGCGCCGCCAGGACATGGCCAGATCCACTGCCGCGGGGACGTGCTCCCAGGAGCTCGGGGAGCGGCGTGTGTGGACACGTCTGCCCGCCCATGCGGGCGGGCAGATATCCACATCCACCACTCCTCGAAATCCCGAGGTGCGACTACGAAGCGGTGGATGTGGATTTGGACAGATTCTGGCGATGGCGACGGAAACGCATTCGCCCTCGAAGGATGGCAAACACAGGAGGGCAAGGGGAGGGAAGCAGGCAGGAGACAGCGTGAGGACAGGAGGAAAGAAGAAGGCAAGAGCAGAAAAGACGAGGCAGGGCAAGGGGAACGGGAGACGAAGGAGGAAGAGGGGGGGGGCAGGGAGGGAGGCTGCCACTTGCAGGCACCGGGGCCCAAAACAGGCCTGCGGAGGCCCAGGCTGAGAAAACCTGGTCGTCCTGATGTGTCGTTGGCTGCATCGGGCCCCTTTCCCTCGGGACTGGGACGCCCGACACGGGGACGGCACTGCCATTCCCAAGTTTGCCGAAAAGAGCTCGGGCGCAGGGCCCAGCGGCGCAGCCCCCCTGCCCCGAGAGGAATGGCTGAGGAGGAGGAGGAGGAGGAGGCGACGGGCAGAGGAGGGGAGGGAGAGGACAGGAGAGGCCGGAGAAGCAGGGCGATCAGGAAGAGGTGGAAGAAGAGAAGGAGAGAAGGAAGAGGAAGAGGAGGAGGAGGATATGGAGGAGATGGAGGAGATGAAGGAGGCGGCGCAAGGATGAGAAGGAGAGGGAGGGAGCGAAGGACGAGGAGGAAGCCGAGCAGGAGACGGCGCAAGAATGAGGACGAGAGGGTGGAGGAGGCGGAAGGGGGGGAAGAGGCGGAGGCGGAAGGAAAAGGAAGAGGAGGAACGAGGAAGGATGAGGCGGAAGGAAGAGGAGCAGGAGGCGGAGGCAGCGGCGGAGGCCTCGAAACCAGCGGGCTTGGGGCGAGGCGTCTCTCCTGCACGTGCTTGTCCATGTCAGGCACCTTCTCGGCTGGCAGCAGCTTGCCCGCCTCTCCCCGGCCACCCAGGGGGGGGGGAGGGAGGGGGCGCGTGGGGGCCACGGGCCTTGGCGGCGGCGGCGGGCAGCGCTGTGGGCTCTGGGCCCTACATCTTCCTCCTCCTCCTCCTCCTCCTCCTCCTCCTCCTCCTCCTCATCATCCTCCTACTCCTACTCCTACTCCTACTCCTACTCCTACTCCCCGCCTCTCCCCGTGAGCGGTCGGGCGCAGGGACGCCCCACCCTCCGCCTCTCCATCAGTTGATAGGCCATCCGCCGATGCTCCTCGGAGTCGTTCAGGAGGGTCACGGGGCTCCCCCCTCCGCGCGCCCTCCAGGAGCGAGGTCCAGGGCCTCTACAGGCCCTCTTCGGTGAGACCCAGCCGCCCCATCTCGCCTCGCACCTCCTCAGCGGCGCCTCTCGAGAGCGCGCCTATGCCGAGGTTGCGCTTGGTCCACCGGCCCGCGGCGGCCACCTGGAACCCACGGCGAGCCTCCAGCAGTGGCACGGGCCAAATTGCCGCGCCAAGAGGTCATCGGCCCCCCGCTTGCGGAGCCCGGCCTCGGCGCCTGCCTTGCCCGAGGCGCAGCCAACCAGGCGCCCCTTCTGGCAGGAGGCCCGGGCGGCGGCAAAGTCCAGGCAGGTGAGCAGATCGCGCGGGGAGATGGACCTCGCCCCCCTCCCCGAAGGTCCGCAGGAAGGGGCACGTCACCTCCCGGGCCACCGCTGCCCCGTGCACCCCGCAGGTCCAATCGGCGGCCCCCACCCGAATCTCAGCGGCGCCCCCCAACGTCCACACCAGTTCCTCCACCCCCGCTGGGAGTGCCACGCGCTCCCGCGGATGCAGGGCCCACCTCAGGCCCGCGGCGAAGCGGGCGGTCCAAGCCCGCGGCACCTCTGCGCACAGCCGAAAGGTTTCCAAGGCTTCCCACCACTCCTTCCAAGCGGCCTCTGCTCCCCCAGGCTTGTCGGACACAAACTCCACCAGTCCTGGAGGAGCCCGCTGTCCTCACGAGGCGGTCGATCGCGCCCAGCTCTGGGAGGAACGAGGGGCACGCGACCGCGGCAAAGTTCGGGGCGCCCCTCAAGACCTGGACGTCCCGGAGGGGTATGGACATATTCCCCGCGTCGAAAGTGGACTCCCTCGGTAGGATTTGGATATTCCGAACCTTCTCCTCTGGGAGCCTCAGGCCCCCCACTGGGCGCTCACGTATGTCCCCCAGCATATCTGCTCCAGGGCGAACTCGCCCTCCTCATCCCGCACCTCCACGTTGATAGCCTGGGGCCCGAAGACGCGGCGGGCCCCCTCTTCGGCCAGCCGCCCGGCCATCCAGGCACGCCGCCCCAGGTCCGGCTCGACGAGGACGTCGTCGTCCATGAGGAGGCGGGAGTGGTGGGGGACCCCGCCATACCACTCGGGGCGCTCGGGGCGCTGCCGAAGGCCGCGCGCCCCCCCGGGCTTCCGACCCCCTCTCCCGCACCTCGAGAATGGCACATCGGCGCCTCTGGGCACTGCGAGCCCCCCGCCACCAGGATTCCCCTCCGGGCGGGGCCCCTCCTCGGCCGGGCACACCCTGCCGCGGGGCGATTCCAGACGAGGGGGCGGCTTGCGCCCTTTCCGATTGCTCCCTCAACGAGCTCCCCCAGGCCCCCTTCGGCCCGCGCGTCCGAGGGGGCCACGTGCCCCGACGAAGCGCCGGGGCCGGCGAGGCCCCCCCCCCCAAGGGACCCCCCACCCCACCTTCCCCACCCCTCTGGCACGCGGGAGGCGCCCTTCGGTCCCGACGGCGGGCGGGCGGGCGCTTTGGGTCGAGCCCCAACGCCCGCCTGCCCGCCCCCCGCGCCACCTCCCGGGTCGCGCAGGGGGGCTCCTCGAGGGCTCGAGTCCCCGCCCCTGCTGGCAGAAGTCCCCTTCCCCCCCGCGTCGCGGAGCTGGGCCAGGGGCGAGTCCCGGACGAGGGGGAGGAGGAGGAGGAGGAGGAGGAGGAGGAGGAGGAGGAGGAGGAGGAGGAGGAGGAGGAGGAGGAGGAGGAGGAGGGAGGAGGGGGGAGGAGGAGGAGGAGGAGGAGGAGGAGGAGGAGGAGGAGGGCTGCGGAGGAGGAGAAGAAAAGGAAAGAGAGCACGGCGAGTGCCGGCTCAAACTGTTAGAGGATCAGACCGGTAACACAAACAGTTGGCCTCTTCGAGCCTTCCTGGGGGACCTCTTGGAGGCCTCTGGGGCCGTCTTGGAGGCCTCTTGGGGGCCGTCTTGGGCCATCCTGAGGCTATATGAGGCCGTGGTGGGTGCATCTTGGGCCGTCTGGAAGGCATCTTGGGGCCATCTTAGCTGTTTGGGAGGCCATCTTGGCCGTCTTGGAAGCATCTTGGCGGCCATCTTGGAGGCCATCTTGGGCAGTCTTGGAAGTTTTCTGGACGTTGTGCGCGATTGCGGTCCCTTTCGGGTGGCCGGCGGGACGGGCCGAAACCCCATGGGAGAGTAAGAGCCAAAACCAGAAAGTAAGGAATGCAGCACGCCAGGCACCACTGTGATAATTCAACAGGGGGCGGCGGACCACCTGAAAGGGACCGCAATCTCTCTCAACGTCCAGAAAAAGTCTTCCAAGACGACCCAAAAGATGGCCTTCAAGATGGCCACGTTGGCCCAAGATGGCCTCCAAAATGCCTCCAAGACGGCCAAGATGGTCTCCAAGACAGCTAGATGGTCCCAAGATGCCTCCCACACGGCCCAAGATGCACCCAAGACGGCCTGAGATGGCCTCAGGATGGCCCAAGACGGCCCAAGAGGCCCCCAAGAGGCCTCCACGACGGCCCCAGAGGCCTCCAAGAGGTCCTCCAGGAAGGCTCGAAGAGGCCAAATTCCTTCATTTTCTTTAGATTTGGACGGAGTTTGTCATTTGCGCCTTTTCGGCCTTCAGGCAGCCCAGGACGGCCCAGGAGGCGCCAAGGTCGCCCCAAGATCGCCCAAGAGGCCTCCAAAATGGCCCCATGGCGGCCCAAGAGCCCCCCAAGACGGCCCCAAGAGGGCCCCAAGACGGCCCAAGAGGCCTCCAAGACGCCCAAGATGGTCTCCAAGACAGCCCTGAAGCGCGTTCAGCGAGGCCCCCAAGACGGCTTCCGACGGCGTCAAACGGGTCAGGAACGCCCTAAGACGGCCAAAGAGGCCCCGAGAAGCCCCCAAAGGCCCCCAAGAGGCCCCCAAGAGGCCCTCAAGAGGCCCAGGGGAGCTCCCAAAAGGCCTCCAAAAGGCTCCCAGGAAGCTCCACAGAGGCCCCTCAAGAGGCCTCCCAAGAGGCCTCCCAAAAGGTTCCTAAAAAGTCTCCTCCTCCTCCTCCTCCTCCTCCTCCTCCTCCTCCTCCTCCTCCTCCTCCCCCCCTCCTCCCCCCATCCTCATCCTCATCCTCATCCTCATCCTCATCCTCATCCTCATCCTCATCCTCCTCCTTCTAATCATCATCCTCCCTCTCCTGATCCTCCTCCTCCTCCTCCTCCCTCCTCCTCCTCCTCCTCCTCCTCCTCCTCCTCCTCCTCCTCCTCCTCCTCCTCCTCCTCTTGCTCCCCCACGCGTTCCTTGGCACTCAAAAAGGCGGGGGGCGGCGGTGATTCGCCGTAGGCGTCTTCGATGAGCATCGTCGTCGCCATCGTCGTCGTCGTCATCGTCATTACCAGCGGCATCATCAGCATCGTCGTCGCCCGCAGCAGCAACATCATCATCATCGTGATCATCATCGGCATCATCAGCATCATCATCATCATCAGCATCATCAGCATCATCATCATCATAATCAGCATCAGCATCATCAGCAGCATCATCGTCAGCGTCATCATCATCATCAGCAGCAGCAGCATCATCAGCAACAGCATCAGCATCAGCATCGGCAGCATAATCAACATCATCAGCAGCATCAGCATCAGCATCATCATCAGCATCATCAGCAACAGCAGCAGCATCATCATCATCAGCAGCATCAGCATCATCATCAGCATCAGCCTCAGCATCAGCATCATCATCATCGAAAGCTGAGCTGCTGCGGAGGCCTGGGCCTTAGGGAGAACCTGGCACGCTGCCCCGTGGGCCTTTCGGGGCCTCGGGCCACGTACGTTTGCATTTGAATGTCATGTGAGTTAGTGTCGAGCATGCTCACTAACCTCCACTAATACTTGCTTGTCGCCACCATCACCATCCTCAGCAGCAGTATCATCATCAGCAGCAGCATCACCACCAACAGCTACAATAGCATCAATAACATCAGCAGGAACAGCAAAGTCATCGTCGCCATCAGCATCGTCATCGTCATCGACATCGTCAGCACCGTCACCATCAGCAAAATCAACATCATCCTCACCATCTCCATAACCATCGTCGTCATCATTATCACCATCATCATCGTCGTTGTCATCTTCATTATCGTCGTGATCGTCTGCATCATCATAACCGTCATCCTATTTCACCATAAGGACGCGAGGCCTTATCCTGCGAGAACACAGGCAGGATGGTCGCCCCAGCGTGGCCGCCGATGACGGGCACGCTGATGTAATTCGGATTCTTGTTCGTCTCCTTTCAGACGGGAGTCGAGGGTCAGGAGGAGGAGGAGGAGGAGAAAGGAGAAAGAGGAGGAAGTGGAGAAGGAGGACAAGGAGGAGATCCAGTCAAAGCTGGTAGCAATGATGCGGGAGAAGCATGCAAGCCCCTTGGACGCGCATGTCGAAGCTTCTCGAGCGGCGGGCGAGAGCACGTTCCCGCTCCCCCATCCCCCAAAAGCCGAGAGCTGCCGATCCCGGGGGCGGGGGCGGAGCCGCACCCCAAGAGCAGAGCAGCCGGGACTCTAGGCAAAGGCAGGATGAGCTGGCAGCGCGCAAAAAGGGGGAGGGGGGAGGGGGGAAGGCTTCTAAGAAGCAGGGGTGCTCCTTAGAAGCCTTCCCCCCTCCCCCATACCCCGCCTCTGCGCGTGGATGAAACATCGGGTTGGGATCTAGCACGGGGAATCTCCGAGAGCTGGCGGGCCCAGAGGATGCAGTCTCGGGCGCCGCGGCCGCTCCAGGGAGCCCCAGGGTGCTCTGGAGCGAGCTGGTCCGCACCCCGGGCCTGCCTGGCGGAGACGGCTTGCTGCGCCAGTCGGCAATGCCTCGCACAAGGAGGCTGGGAGAAGCGGAAGTTGGAACTCCACCACTGGCAGGGGCAGGAACGAGCCCGAAACAACCGCGACAAGGCCGCCTGCACTGGGAAGCTGGAGGGAAGCCGGCCAAGCCTGCAGAGTGGAAGGGCTGGCCCGGCCACTTTCTCCAGCTTCTCTGCGCCTCCTACCGTCGTGCGACTTCCTTGAAGGGGGCCCTCGGACACACGAATAAATCCGCCGGCCCCCTTGTGGGGCCACCAGGCTGCAGGGCGAAGGTTCGCAGTTTCCTGTACCAGTTGCAGCTTCCAGTTTCCGCTGTTACAGTTCTGCTTTTTGCTGCTTACTGTTCCTTGTTGATGGACCGCGCGAGGGAGGGAGACCCAAAACGGGCATTTGTACCACGCCCTGAGCGTGTGCTCTGAATTGCTGGAGTGGGAAAAATTAACACCCCTCACGCAGATCGGCGGGGTCAGGGTCCAAAAGCACAAGGGATCTGCCACATTTCTGACATTCGGTGGCACCCCTCACGCAGATCGGCGGGGTCAGGGTCCAAAAACATATGGGATTTGCCACATTTCTGAAATTTGCTCGCACCCCTCACGCAGATCGGTGGGGTCAGGATCCAAAAACACACGGGATTTGCCACATTTCTATCATTCGGTGGCACCCCTCACGCAGATCGGCGGGGTCAGGGTCCAAAAACACAAGGGATTTGCCACATGTTTGAAATTCGCTCTCACCCCTCACGCAGATCGGCAGGGTCAGGGTCCAAAAACACAAGGGATTTGCCACATTTCTAACATTCGGCGGCACCCCTCATGCAGATCGGCAGGGTCAGGGTCCAAAAACACAAGGGATTTGCCACATTTCTGACATTCGGCGGCACCCCTCACGCAGATCGGCAGGGTCAATTCGGCGGTACTCCTCACACAGATCCGTAGGGTCAGGGTCCAAAAACAAACAGGTCCCGACACTGCTTCACGGCGGCGCCCAGACCTCATGATTTAGCTTTTGCATCTCCCATTATCCGAGACACGGGGCCGGCGGCATGGGGCGAAGCCCTGACGGATACACACAAATAATCGGATTCCCCATATTTTCCCATATTTTATGGGTTTTCGTCTTCCCCCCCACTGCCCATATTTTCCAATATTTTCTGGGGAATCGACGATTAATTGTGTCTGTGTGTTTTTCCCCCTCTTGATTCCTGCCTGCCCTGCTCCAGCCCTCCCGCGATCCCTGCAGGGGGGAGGGCAAGGACGGAGGCAACACGGTCGCGGCCAGGGCAGGGCCGGCCAGCATGAGCTGAGCCGCCCTGCGGGAAGGGGGGCCCTTCCCTGTCTTCCCCCTGGCCATCGCTCGGACGTCCATTCCCTGTGCTTTTTTCGGTTTCGTGCGTGGTTTTGTTCGCAGGATGATCCAGGATGCTCCTTAGTAATCCCCGCGGAGAAAAGTGCACACGTCCGAGCGATACCAACCTCCTGGCCGCCTGCCTGCCGCTCGCAGCTCTCTCGCTGGGGGGCGGGCGGGGGGGGCCCGTCCTGGCAGCGCCCTGCCCGCCTGCCCCTCGCAGGCAGAGAGCACTCCTGAGATCCAGCGTCGTGGAAGAATAGCACGTCGTGGAAGCGAAACCAAACACACACACATATATATACATATATATATACACATACATATAAATATATATATATATATGTATATATATATATATAAATAAAAATATATATGCACACATACACACGGCTTCCTTCGACGCGCAGTGGATACAACAAGCGGGAAACAAACAACCAAATACAAGATCCCTCGACCCCGTCGTTCTGCAACACTCCTCGGGCCAATCGCCCCGTGAAGGGCCCTGGCGCCCGCACACGCCGGTCGTGGGGTCTGTTCACGACGCCCGGGCCCCAGGCGCCCCCCCCCCCTCCTCCTCCTCCTCCTCCTCCTCCTCCTCCTCCTCCTCCTCCTCCTCCTCCTCCTCCCCCTCCCCCTCCCCCTCCCCCTCCCGCTCCTCCTCCTCCTCCTCCTCCTCCAGCCCCTCCTCCCGACGGCCCCGAGGAACGGGCGCCTGGACACGGGCACGCGGGCCAGCGGGAGGCGGTCCTCTCGGCGGGCCCGCCTCTCCGCCAGGTCCCCGCCCTTGTGTGCCCCGGGGTTCGTGGACCCGCTTTTCCCGGAGCTCCGCCGGCTGGCGGTCCCATGCGGCCCCCCGCACGGCCCCCCGCCTGCGGGGCAGCCAGACGAGCGGGAGTTCGACCGCTGGGTGCGGCTCCTCCCAGGCGGATCGATGCCGAGCGACCGCGTCCTTCTGGGCCCTCACAATCCCAACGGAGGACCCGCTCCTTGGCCGGAAGGGGGAGTGGAAGCACCTTCCCAAAGGGGGAGCCGTGCCACACGGTCTCCTCATCCAGATAAGCCCCAAGCAAGGGGCCATCCACCAGTGGCTCCGGAAGGGCGCAAACGGCGAAAAGGCGCTGGAAGCCCTGTCCCTCAGAACCACGTCTCCTCATAGTGACGCTGCGCATCTCAACCTGGCCGACATCCGACGGCTCCGAGACATGGTCACGTGGACCCCGGGAGGCCGAAAACGGCGAGGGGCCCCTGTCTGGGACGCACAAGGACACACTAGAACTATGTGTCCTCCTTGGAGGGGTGCGTCCGACCCGAACATGTAGTACAACCGTCTTACTGTATATCACTTCCCGGGCGGTATGGCCAGAAAGCACCCGCCACAGAGCTTATCCTATAAGATTGGCGAGCGTGCCTATCGCCCCTGCGTGGCCAACGCGCGTACATTAGAAGTTTCGTTGGGTGATGCCGACGCAAGAGTGACCCTGGGCAAGAGCGACCTTTGGTGCGCGGCTTTCGGGGGGGCGCGGGGGCGCCAAACCCAGGCGTGCAAGCCGCTGCTGTCGCATCGCATTCGACCACCCAGGGACCCCGATGGGCCCGCTCTCAAGGTCACTCCTTGCACGTGGACTTGAGAGGCCCCGTGGGCCTCTCCTGAAACTGGCAGCAGACCTGAGCTCGGAGAGCTACACGGGTTCAAGCTGAAGGTAGACCAAGAGCTACGACTAAAGCCACACGCATGTGTATATATATATATATGATTAGTTGAGAGAGGGGGGAGGGTAGAGAGAAAGAGAGAGAGAGAGAGCGAAAGAGAGCCAGCGGAAATGCTGCGAATCAGTCAAGGCCGCTGTAAGCCAGGGATACATGATAGCGAACACGATGTCCAACAACACGTACAACAGTGAACGCTGCAATTGCTCCTAAGATAGTCGTTCAACCAGAACGATGAGCTAAACTTTATTAAGAGCCCAAAGACACGGCTTCTCTGCGCGCGCGTCGCCCCCGGGGGGGCGACGTACACACAGTATGAGT